CCCATAAGCTGGGCCTCAACCCTTAGTTCTGCCTACAGGCAGCACCTGAGACCTGCACCCCACACCCTGGCCCTCACACCCAGCCCAGACTCAGATCAACTAGGCCAAAGGATGGACTGCTCACCTGATTTCCTCAGCACAGTGTCCCCATGCCCAGGGCTGCTATTTACCAATGTTGGGCCATCTCTGTAGCCCTCTGGGGAGAGTGGAGCTAGGGGTCTATGAAGAAGATTCTTCATACAGGAAGGAAGCTACAAGGCCTCATCCCCAGAAACCCTGCCCACTGGCCTAGCTACCTATGATTTGCCCAGGTCAGGAGGTAACAACAGCTGGTTTTCTGGTGGCCTCCAAGCCAGGCCTAATACTCAAAACCCAGGGAAGCATGCATCCTCTTTTTCTTCTACTTTCCTCCTCAGTTCTCAAAAAGGTTCAGAGAATTTTCTTACCATATGTACTTCTTCTAGAAATTCCACTATGAACTCGTAGGCTTCCCTTTCTGACTGGCGCAATCCTGAAAAGGGATGCAGTTGGGAGGAATTTAGCTAATTCTACCAGATGAAATAGGAAGACAGAGCCATCCTGATTCCACCTTTCCCCAGGGAGGTCCAGAAGCCACCAAGGTCCAGTGTGGTTCTTGCTCCCAAGAACCAGTTCCTCTAGGCCGATGGAAGCCGAAGTGGAAAGGCTATCATGTGAAGAACTCAGTTATACGATTTTCTGCATTAGGCATGATGAAAGATGGAAGAACAATTGGGAGGGGAGAGTCTGAAGTCACTCCCAGTGGCCACATATTTCTGGGGCTGTCCTACTAGTTTTGAAGTTCCTGGTTGTGAATAAACTCAAAATCCCAAGTCAGCTTGTCCACAGGGCTAACATAGCCTTTAAGGCACACCTCCCCGATCAGGGACCCAGGTATGGGCACAAAGGCTGGGGGTTGAGATTAGTAATAGAGCCTGTCCACGCCGGGTGGAGCCGGGAGGGGCCAAGCAGGAGAATGGAGGTAGAGCAAGTGATCTGATTCTGTATCCATGTTGAAGGTAGAGCTGATAGAAATTGTTGAAGGAATAGACATCAGCATGAGAGAAGACAGAAGTTAAGATTTTTGGCCTGAGAAGCAGGACTAAGTTGGAAGGAGTATGCCTGGCCATTCATTGATATGGGGAGCAGATATGGGGTTGGAAGTAAAGTCAGGAGCTCAGTTTGGAACATGTAATTCTGAGACGTCTACTGTGCATCAAAGTGGAGGTATCAATAGGCAGCTGGATATGAGTCTGAAATTGAACTGGACTGCAGATACCAAACTGGGAGTTGTTGGTATGTAGATGTTCTCTAAAGATCTGCTCTGGCTCTCCTGAACAGCTGTCAGAAAGTCTCAGACACCAGCTTGCTCCCAGCCCCACCCCCAGGCTTCCGGGGGAGGCAGGCCTGGAAATGGATGGTGCTGTGAAAGGGGCAGACTTGCTCCCATTAAATGACACCTCAAGCCAGGGCTGGGCCATCGCCACCACTTCCCAACCGCTGCAGTTAATTGAGAGACAGGACCCATGGCTCACCTGATAAGTTTGGCTTCCAAGAGATACGGAACGTCAGTGCCTCAAAGGTGACTCTCTTTGGATTTTGTTTGTTAGGATGTGGATTCATCTGCATACTCGGGGTAGCGGCCTGCAGCTTGCGAGGAGAACAGTAGGTAGGCCGGGGATGAGAGTCCTTCCTAGAGATGCAACCTCTCCACTCAAGGGGAGAGGCTACAGGAGGAAGGCCCTGGCCACTTACCACAAAAGGAATTGGCTGAGTGGGGCTAGGGCCAGGTTCCCCTGTGAGCTTACCATTTTCTCCTCATGGGAAGACACGGGATCCTCTGAAAGGTCCTGATCCATCCTAACTTGTCTAGGAGTCTTCCATGCAGGGATCTCCCTGCATAGGGAAATCTCAGGCTCACACCGGCGGGCGCCCATGTCACGGTGTCCATTCCTCTGCCTCTGGGCGGAATTGCCTCTGAGAGTCTTACTGCGAAAGTCCTGAAGCTCCTTTTCCCAGAGGCTTCTGTCCCCATTTCCTAACCCATAATCCCACTTCTGCCCTATTGTAGCCCAAGTCTGCTCCTCCCAGACTTGGCCGAGGGAAACCTGCTCGTGGACCAGGAAGAAACTGCTGGCGGACCTGGTTCTCACTGCCCTGCACTTTGGGTCCCCAAACTGGCGCACCCTGTTGCTTTCCGCTCCTGGCTCTGCCTCCAGACCCCATCTCTTTTTGTATCCCCCTTCGTTTAGCCTGTCTCTGTCCTGCGGCTGGGGTCCTCCCCCGGGAACTCGCCGAGACTCGGTCAGGGCTTCCCTCTGCCTAACTCATCACAAACTGTCTGAAATACAATATCAAGCACCCCATTCCCCGAAAGTCACAGGGCAAAGTGTTCAGGTCTGAGATCGGGAGACCTCAACGTCTCCAGAGACCCTGGGCCCGTCTCCCCTCCCAGCCCCCCTTCTCTGTAATGGAGGCCCCCAGGCCCAAGTGATCCGGTCCGTGAAGTCCGCAGATTCCCATGATCCCCAAGGCCGAGTCCCCAGGCCAGAGCTGGAGTCGCCTTTCCCACAACCATCTGCCTGGGTCCTTCTTTCCCTGCCCCTTCTTTGCCTGTGGAGTGGGACGGGGGGCAGGGACCCCTCTACCTGACACGCCGGCGCCTCCGATCCGCGGCACAGGCCTCTCCCGGGCTCTGTGGCTCCAGGGGGCGCTGTGCTCCCGGGAGCTGGAGCGGCCCCTGCAGGGCGGCCACGGAAGTGGTCCGAGTTGGCGCCCCCCACTCCCGTCCCAGGCGTTTCCCCTCCCCCTCCTGGGAGGGAGGAGCTGTTGGCTCCCTGGCTGAGTCAGGGGAGGGGGCTGTGAAGTCTCCCTTCCTCACCACCCCAAGGAAGGGCCCCAGTTTTCCAGTTATGGGGAAGGGGCGGTTTCTCAGGAGCCTGGGCTCGGGTGGTCAAGGGCTCCACCAGTGGCTGGGAGGGGCAGGAGACTCGGAGCCACACCCGTCCCCACCCACTGCCTAGCCTGACCCAGCCAATCCCGTCCTTGCTGGGGGAAGCCACGCCCAGAGCCCAGCTCCTCGGGTCAGAAGACGGTAGGGAGCTTTGACAGGGTTGGGCCTGCTTCCCACCTGCCAGGGGAGCAGAGAATGAGAGCTTCTCTTTACCACCCCACCCACCCACGGCTCCTCAGGGACCCAGCCAGACCAGCTGGAGAGGCAGGTGAGGCCAAGCAACTTGGCCACCTTGGGCAGGCAGCCTCTGCTCAGGAAACTTGGCACCAACAAAACAAAACAAAACAAAACAAAAAACCATCCTCAGTTCAATCACAAAGAACAGACTTTATTGAAGTATTTGGCACTGAAACCCACACAGTTCCAGCCCCTTAGCCAAGGACACAGCCACTTGCCAACAGCACCAGGCGTTATATAGGACCAATAAGTTAATACGAAGGATGTTCAGGTGTGAGGGAGGGACTGGTGCACAGAAGTTTCCTGGCTCAGCCTGAAGAGTTCTGGTTCAGGAAGGACACTGAGAGGGTCGAGGGTACAACTGTACACTGGGGAAAGGGGCTTAGAGGCAAACCAGAAGAGAGCAGCATCCAAAGTAGAGCGTTCAAACATAATAGGGGACAGAGGTGACACAGGTAGGAAAGCTGCAGGATAGTGTGAGAACACAGTGAGAGAAATGCCAAGTGTGCGCCTCAGGCTCGTCTTCTCCCCCAGATGCCTCTTGGTTCTTTCCTAAGCACCCCTGTGCATTGACTGCGTCGCTTTCCAGTAGGGCCTTTTTGCTGGGCCAGGCAGCAAAGTTCTTAGCATCTTCTGCTATATTCATGGTCTCTGTTCCAGTCAGCTGTCGCTACACCTCCAAACCTCACCTGAGTTGCTTTCTCATGGAAGCAGGAGCTCTACCTATGTATCTGACCTGGCAGCAAAGAAACCCCTAGGATGAGAACTCAGGGACCATCAGGTGGTCTTAGCACAGGCAACGTCCAGACTTCTCCCAGTCCCAGCAACTAGGCCAATTAATGAATGCCTTCTAAAAAAATTCAGCATCTTGTCAGGGCTCAGGAATGAGTATGCCCATGTTGTATAAATAAGGACTTTCAGCTGGGCATGGTGGTTCATATCTTTAATCCCAGCACTTTGGGAGGCTAAGACAAGAGGATTGACCGAGCCCAGGGGTTCGAGACCAGCCTGGACAACACGGTGAGACCTTGTCTCTACATAAATCAAAAAATTTGCCAGGCATGGTGGCACATGCCTGTAGTTCCAGCTACTTGGAAGGCTAAAGCAGAAGGATTGCCTGAATCCAGCAGGTGAAGGCTGCGATGGCCATGAGTGTGCCACTGCACTCTAGCCTGGGCAACAGAGTAAGACTCTGACTCAAAAAAAAAAAAAAAAAAGGACTTTCTCATAGCAAAAGCACAGTTGTGAAAGGAGTAAGAACCTCCTTCTCCTACCACAACATGCCACAAAAGTGGTGCTGTTCCAAAAATATTTGTAAGGCACAGGATTTGTGGACTGTGATGAAAAAATATTAGGAGCACCAGGACCACAAACCATTGAGATGCTCAGAGGTGGTCATCAAGGCCAGCCCCCAGCCAGATCCCCTGAAGCCAAAATCTGGCAAAGACTCAAGGTTCAGAGGTCTGGGAGCCCACAGGGCAGAGGGTACAGTGTCTAGGTCCCCAAAGGGGATTTATGGGGTCAGGAAAATAGCAGGGTCCAGGAAGACAATACCCCACCAGGATACACTGACCTTTAACCTACCACTTGGTGTGTGCATCACAGAGCACATTACAAAGGGGGAAGGAGCTTCTCCCCAGCCCAGACTAGAGCACTCAGAGACCTGGAAAATGGGGAGAGTCATGGGCACGAGTGTATGCAACGTCCAGCCCCCAGCAACAGTGGCACAGGAGGGCCAGGGGTTGTTCTTCAGGGAAGTTCTCAGAACCAGAGCACAGTGTCTGAGGAACCTCAAGGGGGCCCTATCTGCTTCACACATTCTCTGCTACTTGTCTTACACAAGGAGTCAAAATGCTGTCACTCAGACAGGCAAAGCCTTAAGTCCAGTAGGCCAGACTCTAGGGGATAATGTATAATCATATCCCAGGGATCTCGAGGACAAATCACAGATATAAATCCTCAGGTCAGGGTTTCTGAAAAAATGTGTATAAAAAACAGAAAAGGTCTCAGCTCCAGGTCATCGACCTGCGATGGGGGTGAGGGAGCTGAAGGAGGCACTTGGGGTGGGAGTCTCAGCCCAGCCCCACGATGAAACAGTCTTTTCCAGTGAGGGACCCAGAGTTGCACCTGTCTGGGTTACACCTGGCTGATGATCTCTCCATTCTCAGGTACAAAGACTTGCACAGGGGCCCCCTCGGGCGATCTCCGGAGCACACACACTGTAGGCACCTGCCAGGGTCAGGAAGAAAGGAGATAGGTAAGCAAACCAGGTAGAAATATCCAGAAATGAATAGTAAGCCAGTTACACCATGCTTATCCCTTAGGGACACTGACTGGCTACAACATGGCCCTAGTGCTCAGCTCTGGTCTCCCCAGGAGGCTCCATTTTCCACTCCAGGTTCCTCTGGGGTATGACAGGCACGCTGACCTCTTCCTCCCCTACCTTCCCTGGGCTTACTTCTCACTGCCCTCCCTGTCTGGCAGGTTGGGATGGGCTGGGCCTAGCCAAGGACAGGTCCAAGCTCGCAGGAAGGGAACACACGTCAGCTGGAGGGTGCAGCCTGGGACTGGGGCCAGGGTGCTGCCAGGCCCAGGATGCCAGCTGCAGCCCCAAGAGCCGTGGGTGGGGGAGGGACATGCAGCTGGGCCTCCTGGGAAACTGGGGTCTCAAAGAGGCGGCTTGTTGGTAAGTTCTGGAGCATGTCCCCCGCAGAGCCCTCCATACCAGGGAGAAGGAATAAAGAAGGGATTGATGTGTGTTAGCCCCACTTCCAGAATGAAGAAACAGGGTCCAAAGAACCCAAGCCATCCCTACCCAGTATCAGGGTGCTGTATCCTACATCCTATTTCTGGCTCTGGGACTCCTGATGATAATAATATCATTTATCTAGTGCTTACTATGCCTCGCTCGAGTCAGTCCAGCCTCTTAGCACCCCTAAAATAGGTATTGTACTACTCCCATTTCACAGAGGGGGAAGAGTATGCCCAAAGGGGTTAGGTTACTTGCCCAATCATGTAGCTTATAAGTGGAGGGACTGGGATTTGAACCTGGTAGCCCAGCTCGAGGATTGGTGTCCTTAACTATTATGCCCCCCTCCTTCTCAGTTCAGTGCTGTGGGAGAGTATTAGGGAGTAAGTGACAGATAGGTAGTCATAGGTCCTAGCTTCTGCAAACGTATACCAGGGGTGCCAAAAAAAGTACACACATTTCAAGAGATGTTATCATGTATTACTTTTAGCACTCTGTAACCAGAAGTGTCTGGAGGCTGATGGTAACCACTCTGAGCACCTCTTGTAACTGCAGAAGTTAAACATGACTTGTATTCATCCTTTGTTATGGATATATAGAGTATTACAATTTTAATACAGTTTTTTTCCTTTCTTAAAAAATGTGTATTCATTTTTTTGGCACCCTCTGTGTTTCCAGACTCTTCCTTTGTCCTGGGCAGGAAGTCAGGAAATTAGGGGGGTTTATTTGGATTGGACTTTGATTATGAAGAGGTTTATCTGCTTTGGGGATCATCTGAGGAGCCATCAGGAAAAAAAGCCTCTGCTATCAGCGAGATCATCTCCACCATGCATGTGCTCTGGAGTTAGATGTGGCAGGCAAAATCAGGAGGTGCCCCAGGTAAGTCAAGGGTGCTTTCAAAGCCAAGAGGAAATGATTTTTTGGCCTGTTCTTCTTAGTTGGGGATTACCCGGCCACTAGGCATCAAACCTAGTTTGATGCCTCACTACTCTGGGACCTTCTAGAATCACGGCCCCTTCCCAGAGACACAGCACTCTTGCCCAGTCCCCGGGTCCCTCGAGAGCAGACGCACCTGTGTCCGGGGTCCTGGGGCTCGCCCAAAGCCCTCTCTCCCGGGGGGCAGGCTCCTGACCCGGAAGGCCCCTTGGCGGTCCAGCGAGTGGGGGCGGGAGCTGCGCAGGCGTGCCCGCTCGTGCCACCATTTGAGCTCCTCAGAGACGGCCGCCTTGCTGAGCCCTCGGCCTGCGGGGCTGTCTTTCAGGGAGGGCGTCCGCACGATGCGGCTGTGGGAGGGCACCAGCCGCTGGTAGCGCAGGGGCGTGCCCTCCTCCTCATAGGCAGGGCCCAGAGCTGCTCGACACAACTCCCACTCGCCAGGCGGCAGGTGGCTCTCAGCCACCATCACATACCGCCCTGCTGGGAAACAGCCGGGGGGCAGCAGCAGCTTGGGGTAGTGGGGGACCAGCTCTCTGCTGCCAGCTGGGCCCCAGACCCCACGGTGGCGAGGGAGCTCCGGTGGGGAGAGGGGCCGCAGGAAGGAGATCTCGGGGCTGCTGCTGCCTGGCGAGGTGGGGTGGGAGATGCTGGACACATCAGAGCCGCTGTCTTCTGAACAGGAGTGGCAGGCGGCGTGAGGCAGCGGTGGCTTGGTCGGGGGGAAGCAGGAGTCTGGCACTGTCACCGTGTAGTGAGTAGGACGGCGGCGGGGAAAGGCGCTGCGACCTCGGCCCTCTGGACCGGCCCGGAAGGAATCCACCCTGCAGAGGGAAGGGAGGCATCCTGAGTCTGGGGGACACAGAGTCTACACTGCAGGGGTTGGAGTTCAGACAGGTGAGGCGGATTCTCTATCTCAAGGTCAAGATCAAAGCACCGCACTCGCAGGGGTCTTAGGTCAGCCCTCCCAAAGCAAACCAACAAGTCCCCGCTGGTCTAACATGTGAGTACAATACATTCCCTCACTACACGCACATGTTCCCACTGCACACACGCACTGCAGTCCATGTAGAGGGAACTATATCCATGTCATGTATTTTCAGCCAGTGTGGGTACACTGGACACAGTTGGCATTTCATCCTCAGGATCAATCTGTTTGGGCAGACATTGTCGGGTATCTAAATTGAACGTGTAAAATCTATTTAGGTAGACATTGTTGGGTATCTAACTTGAACATGTAAAAGCTATCATGTGGTACCCAAAGCAGCTGCATGCAGCCCAGGACCAATAGGGGCTGAAGTACTGCCCTCACTCTGCTAATACAACTGCCTTTTTCTAATTTGCATAAAGGCATGGCTTGTAAAATGACCTTGATAGCATGTAAAATATAAAATTCACTGCTTTGACTGGGCTTGGTGGCTCTGCCTGTAATCCCAGCACTTTGGGAGGTCGAGGTGAGTGGATTGCCTGAGCCCGAGGGTTCAAGACTTATCCAGGCAATTTGTTGAGACCTCGTCTCTACAATAAATCAAAAATGAGCCGGGCATGGTAGCACGTGCCTGTAGTTCCTTGGAAGGCTGAGGCAGAAGGATCGCCAGAGCCTAGCAGGTTGAGGCTGTGGAGACCGGGAGCGTGCCACTGCACTCCAGTCTGGGCGACAGAGTGAGACTCCAATTTAAATAAATAAATAAATAATAAAATAAAATTCATGACTGGAGAGCAGTTATTCCAAGCTGTACCCAGTCCAGTACTGCCTAACTAGCAAATTGAAGCCAGCAGAAGAACCCAGCAATGCTTTAATGATGCCTCAGGCCCCAGTGTGGTGTGGCTCACATTGCCTGCCATAACTCAGTCACCTAAATGATTGCCAAGCAGCAGGTGACATGGAAACTACCATACAGTCAATTCTCATCACTTGCAGATTCATTATTGGTGAATTTGCCTACTTGCTGAAATTTATTTGTAATTCCCATGTCTATATATACAGGACCTTCATGATCATTCTTGGACGTTCACGGAACAGCAAAAAAATGTGAGTTGCTTTAAGTGCGCATTCCTAGCTGGAGTCAAACAAGGCCATGCTCTGCCTTCTTGTTTCAGCTTTTATACTGCAAACGAATGTCCTGTTATGGCATATTTATTGAGTGTGTGTTTTTCATTTTGTGATTTTGCTGTTGAAACGGCCCCAGATGTAGTGTTCCAGTGCTGTATAGTGCTCCCAGTCAGAAGAAGGCTGTGATGCACTTTAGGAGAAAACATGTATGAGGCAAGCTTCACCCAGGCATGACTTACAGTGCCTTTGGCTGTTAAGTTCAGTGTTAATGAGTCAACAGTATACACTAAATAGGGTAAATTTAAGCAGAAACTCACGTAAAACCAGGATACATATTAACTAGTTGGTGAAAAATATTGTGACCAAAGGCTTGCAGGAACCTAACTGTGTCTCCTGTAGGACAATGATTCAGTATTCACTAATTCAGTTTGTGGTGATTTTATAGAATTATAACTACCACAAATAATGAGAATAAACTGTACATCGTCTGAAAAACTGAATCACCTATTGTCTGTGACCAGTAGTAATCTGCCAGCACAAGAAAACATGGCAAGTAAAAACCTTGAATCAGGTTCAAACAGACAAAACTGCAAACAAAACTGCAGTCTCTGGAAGAAAACAACTTGCTTCATAGATGGCCTTTGGCTTTGCTGGTTGTGGTGCAGCCTCTTTCAAGAGGTGCTTCAAGAAGGGATCCTAAGAGAAGCCAAGGCACCAGCCATGAGTCACCCAAGGGTGTCCCACCTGTATCCTAGAGGATACCTCCTCAAACTGGTGGGTTCCCACCTCTCTAGAGTGGGCTGTCTCTTACCTCAGAGACTTTGACTGACCCCTCCTCCCCTGCATCTCGGGGGTGGCCGGGGCACTGGTTCGGCCTTGCCACTGGCCAGGAACACTACGGATGGGAACCACGTGGTAGGAGACAGGCTCCAGCAGCCACAAGCTGGAGGCGCTGGGCCCGTCCTGTGGTGTGGTGGCCGGGCTGCTGCAAACAGATTGGAGACAGGTCAGTGGCAGGGATGCCTCCACTCAGAGGCTCAACAAGTGCAGGAGAATGGGGGCACAGTGGAAGGGAGCCCCACCTGAGCTCACACCTCCACCATCACATGGAGGTGGGAGAGACCTCCTCCACCTGTCTCCTTGTCCATGTGCCCAGCCCGTACCCCCAGTCCCAGCACAGCTCCCACCTGCTCCCGGCCCTCCCTCTACCTTCCTCCCCATCCTGACCTGGACTCGCTACAGGGCTCAGAAGCCTTCCTGGGCTTCTCGTATGGGTGGTCCAGGCTGGTCTCCTTCCAAGGGCTGTTCTGGATTGGGGCCCGCTCCAGGCCTTCCGACTCAGGTCCTGCTGGCTGCAGCCCCTCAAGGCTTTGGGGTGGGAGTGGCCGGGAAGGTAAGGCTGGGGACCCTGGGGGAGGTTTTGGCACTTGGGATTCCTCTGCAGGAATAAAAGAACTGGTAAGGGCAGAGGCTGGGAAACTGGCCCAACAAGAACCTCCATAAACCATAGCCCGTGCCTCACTCTCCCTCCCATAGCTGGCTTGTCCAACTGCTCCAGGCCATGGCTCTAGGCCCAGATGCTCAGACATATTTTCTTCTCCTCTGGGATGACTCCTTCCTTCACAGCCCTAGTTTATACCTTCCTCCTTCAAGAAGCCTTCCTAGATTGACTCTCCTGGGCCCACATCACTCTACTTTCTAACCTTTGTTCCGAGTGCCATGTCTGCAACTAACCTTTTGTTTACTTTTTCTCTCATTCCTGCCCATATGGCCCATTTCCTTATTGGTCTGGGCACTCCCCTGGGCAGGACTACAATACCTCCTCTGTCCACCTTGACCCTGGGTTTGTACACAGGGTTCTTAATAGACTTGTGTTTATAGACTTGTGTTTCCTACTCTAATATACCTTCTTTTCAAATGTGGCAATGACTGTGGGCAGATTGCTCTTTGGTTCTGACTGGTGCATCCTGAAATCAAGCCCCAAGGTGAAGGGACACACCTGGGGTTGACAGACTCTGCTGGAGTTCACCTTTCCCTTCCCTGTCAAAATGATGAGCTTCTAGAATGAGAGGTGGTCAGCACATCCCCATCCCCAGCGGAGCATATGCAGGAGCCCGCGGAAATTTGCATCCGTTCTAAGTGGAGACCCTCAGCCTGGCACCCTTGCCTTCCCTCTCCCTTGAAGTCCTCACTAGCAAACTCTGTCAAAGCCCTGAGGTCTATCAGTAGGAGCCCAGCCTTGATGACAGTCCCCAAGTCATGCCTCTTACCTTCCTCCAGGAGTAGCCCATCTGACAGGGAGCTGTCATCGGAGGCACTGAGCTCTGGGAAAGCCAAAGGGGAGAGAAAGAAGTGAGATTAACCCATAGATATGCATAACCAGTAGAGCTGAGCAGCCTAGACCTGATCCCTCCCCAGGATAGCACCCATTTATCAAGTAATATCCACTGTCTGATTTTTTCACTCGGAAGGAGGAAAAAAAACAGAAGTCAGGGGCTATGAAACAGGAAACTTGATTTTAATCATGGCTCTGTCATTAGCTATGCAACCCTGAATAAACCATTTCCATGCTCTAAACCTCAAGTTTCCCCACTTATTAAAAAAAAAAAGCCAGTGTTTCCTTGGGCAGGGCTTCCTGGCTGTGGGAGGAAAAAGCAAAGAGCCATTTTGGCAGGCCCTTGGGATGAAAAGAACTTTGCTAACTTTTCTATAGTCTTCTCACATCACAAATACAACTCAAAGATCCAAATCTGTGAATTCCTGCCTCACCAGCAATAAAAGCAGTTTGAGGTGGGAATCTGAGCTGTGGGACTGTGAGGCCAATTTAAGTTAGGGTCTGGCTAGCTACCATAAGGAAGGTTCTTCAGCTGGTGACATGGCAAGTCACCTGAGGAAAGGGAGTGTGGCATTTCTGCATGGTACAGAATTTCTCTGCCAGAAAATCAGAGGGAACTTATTTTTGCCATTGCCTTCAAACAAGCTTAAATCTTCAGATTTTAAGAATAAGCCTGACATTCCCTGCTTGGAACTCACAAAGCATTTTCAAGTGTATTTGAGATTGAAGATGAAAAGCAATAATTGCTAATATTTCTACTGTGCCAAAACTTATTAAATATAGCACCTTATATATGCTTTAATTCATGTAATACAACAACCATGTATGGTAGATATTATCATCTCCAAGTGACAATTGAGGAAAAGGTGTCTCAGAGGAGTTAAGTAACATGGTTTAGGTCAATCTACCAAAAGGTAGTTGAGTCAGAATTCACACCCAGACAGTCTGACTAGAGTCTGTACTCTTAACCACAGACCTTTGTGGGCTCTCCTGTTAGCTAGCATCTAATGTATAGGTCATTACTCAGAAAGTTCCAACCATCTTGAAATCCCTTACAACAAAGTTTTCAAACTACAGCCCAGAAGCCAAAACCAGCTCAACAGCTATTCTTATAAATAAAGTTTTATTGAAACACAGCTACAAGTGTACCTGGCTGCTGTTACACTAAAGTGGCAGAGTTGAGCAATTGCGACAGAGATCAAATGGCCCACAAAGCTTAAAACATGTATTATCTGATCCTTTACAGAAAAATTTCTCAACATTTACTCCACAATTTAAAAAATAAACACTTTATCTACAGCACTTTATCTGTTAGACTTTGCAGGGCATGCAGTGCCAGGAGCTGGGCCTGACTTCTGAGTAGTCAGCCAGCCCGTTCTTTGCTTAGCTCATAACTAGCCTTTGCTTTGTGATTCAATGGAGGAGATACTCTCTTATTGAATTCTAGTCTCCTGCCTCTAATCTTTTACAAAAACCTGGAGAATAAGGATTTATATCTTTCACAAATGTCAAGTGAATAAATTGTGGAACTATCACGCCAGGTGGGGCAACCAGGGTTACAGTCTTGTGTTTTGGTTTGAATATATGATCCGAGAAGAAAGACAGCATCCTCATCACCTCTAATCTTCATAAAAACAAGCAGACCAGCATTTTATAGGCTAAAAGGTACAATGCAAAGAAGGGAGTCTGGAGACACACTGCCTTTGCAGAGGTGGGGGTGGGGCACCTGGATCTGCCAACCCAACACAAGGGGTTCCCTAGGGCTAGTCATGTCTCAGCCACTGTCCTGACCTAGCCCTGCTCTCAAAGCAACAGTGGGACACGCCAGGCCGTAGAGGTAACTATAGAGATCGTGCTCATAAACTCTGGGACATTTTTTTTTTCCAAGTTGGCGTCTCGCTCTGCTGCCTAGGCTGGACTACAGTGGCATGCTCATGGCCACTGCAGCCTCGAGCTGCTGGGTTCAGTCAATCCTTCCTTAGCCTTCCAAGTAGCTGGAACTACAGGAACATGCCACCATGCCCAGCTAATTTTTTGATTTATTGTAGAGATGAGGGCTTGCCAAGTTGCCCAGGCTGGTCTTGAACCCCTGGGCTCAGGCAATCCTCTCACCTCAGCTTCCCAAATTGCTGGGATTGCAGGCCTGAGCCACCGCACCCAGCTGCTCTGGGACTTTTCAAAGGCTGTGCTGTCCAACACAGTAGTCACTAGCTGCATGTGGCTAGTTTCATTAAAAATGAATACAATAAAAAAGTCAGTTCCTCAGTCACACTAGGTACAGTTCAAATGCTCCACAGCCACATGCGACCAGTGGCTACCATATTGGACAGCACAGATACAGGATACTTCCATCACTGTAGAAACTCTTAGAGTATGACTAAAAGCTGGCGCTGTCGATCAGCAAACTCACCCTGAGCATCTGTTACATTTACAGCGGTGTGTGCTGGGGCAGTTCTCATCGGGTTCACCCTGGTAAATTAGTTCAACACCTGACTGCTCCCTGCCACTGCAGAGTACTACCTAATTAGTCTCACCTGGCACAGTTACTTTCCCAAAGTGAATAACCCTTGAGTGGAGACCAAGAGGGTGGGATGATTTTTGCTTTAGGCTTTTTTTTTTTCTGGTTTGTTTGCTTTTTTTCCTGTTAAATTCAAAACACCTTTCAGTTACTAACTAATTATTAATCCCTCTTTACTTCCTCCTTTCTGGGAGAGCACAGCTGGGCAGAAGAGACACAAAACAGGAATTATTTTTCTAGAACTGCCCCCTTCTGTGCTGCCAGGGCAGGACATGGGATCCCAGGGCCTGAGGAGGAGAGTGGGGTCTCAATGCCTGATCTGGGAAAGCCAGCCGTTATGCCAGGTGTTGCCGCTCCACATTTCTATCCTCACCTGGGCTGAGTGCCCCAAGAAGGCTTCAGAACCTCGGCCTCTTGCCTCCCACAGAGGGTTAAGCCAGAGCCCCAGGCATGCCCTGGCCTGCTCCCCACTCCCAACAAGGAGCACCATCGGTCACAATCGCAGCAGCAAGAGTAACACCCCGGCCGGGCGCAGTGGCTCATGCCTATAATCCCAGCACTTTGGAAGGCCAAGGTGAGAGGATTGCCTGAACCCAGGAGTTCAAGACCAGCCTAGGCAACTTGGTAAAATCTCATCTCTACAATAAATCAAGAAAAATTAGCTGGGTGTGGTAGCATGTGCCTATAGTTTCAACTACTTGGACATCTGAGGGGGAAGGATTCCCTGAGCCCAGCAGGTCAAGGCTGCGGTGGCCATGAGCATGCTACGGCACTCCAGCCTGAGCAACAGAGTGAGACTCTTGACTCAAACAAACAAAAAAAAAGAGTGACACCCCTCTACCATCCCATTTATGGACAAAAGCTTACAGCAACCACAGCAACAGTGGGCAGGGGAGTCCACTGAGCAGGGTGAGGCTGGGCGGCGGGGGCACAGGAAGTGTTGCGACCACCTGGGATGGGGGCACATCTCACCACCCTGACAGCTCCCTACAAGCACAGAGCAAGCCAGTCCTTAGAGACTTCCATGCCCAGACTGGCAGCTGCTTTTCCAGGGAAGATCAAGTCTTGGAAGCCCGGTGATCAGTTACACACTGCAAAGCTCAACCCCTATGCTGCCTAACTCAGACCGGGGGAAAGTGCATCAGCTCAGAGCCTCGGGCTCAAAAGAGCCTCCCACTATCCTGACCCAGACAAGCCATTGCCCCATGGACCCGGAGGGCAGAGGTCCTGACCTCCATTCCATTTGAATGAACCCTTGGATGAAACTCAAGGTCAGCTTTGAGGAAGATGCAGAAGGAAGGAGGAGGCTCTTCTTTAAGGAGATGGGGAGAGGGCCTCACAGGATGGAGAAGCCTTGCTGGGGCTGCAGGTCAGGATGGGGTGGCGGTAGACCCGGGAGGCAAGTCTGCCTGGCTAGGGCCGACGTGGAACACTGAAAACATAGTGCTGGGCCACACTGGCAGTGCTAGCCAAATGCAAAGGCGGTGGTGCAGACTTTGCCACCATCCCACATAAGCTCGTCCAAGGGGCGTGGCCCAGGCGGCCCGCTGGCCGCTGGCTCACCTCGGCCCAGGGGGAGCACGGTGGCCGGAGGCAGCTCGCTGTTACGCCGCCGCTCGCCCAGGCAGTGCTGGAGCTCCCGCAGCTTCTTCTCCTCCTGCAGCATGGCGTGCTTGCGCTGCCGCCGGGCCTGCCGGCTCAGGTTCTCCTCCAGGCACAGCCGCCGGGCTGCCTCTGTGATCTGCAGCTGCAGGGCCAGTTGGCGCTCCAGGCTGCTCAGCGGGTCCTGAGGCAGGGGATGGGAGTGAGGCCCGGGAGAGGCAGGGAGCTCGGGGGTCCAGAGGACACAGAGAGAACCCAGTACTCTGGGTCCTGGTCCTAAGCCTGGAGGACTGAGGAGTGGCAGACAGCAGCACCCACGGACGTGGAACAGAGGATGGAGAGGTGGGAGGAGCCCGAGAGCAAACCTGTCAGCCTGAAAAGCTAGCACGGGCACCCACCCATCAGCCCGCCTGCTTAACCAGGCAGGGCGAGAACCCAAGTGGGACACTTTCCCTCCTGACCCCAAAGGGTTGGGCGGGCCAACCCATGGAAAACTGCCACCATTCACACCATGGGGAAGGGCACCCAGGGCCCGAGTCACCCTCTCTCCTCCTTCCTCCTATGCTGAGAAAGAGGAGGACCAGCCCTAGGGGCCAGAGTAACCTGTCTGAGCAGGCAATTGCCTCTCTGAATTGGTGGCTGGCACTCTTAACTGATCTTCTGCCCACTGGGGCCAAGCCTAGTGTCCTCCCCTGAGCTTCCAGCCCCCTCCGTTCCTATGGTGGCACACCTTCCCCATGGCCATTTGGGCTACATGTTTGTGGTACTCTTGGCTGACATGGAGTCAAGCACCCTCCCTGGGTGTGAAGGGTGGAGGGGAGCCTGCCAGGGTCCCAGGATGAGGTGCTGCACCTCAGGGATCCGTCTTTGAGGAACGAAGGTTGCTAGCAGCTACCTGAAGCCCCTCACCTCTCTGTGCAAGGCCCACTCATCCAGTTTGTAAGCTGCTCCAATCCTGCGGCGGACCTTGGGGGCCTTTTCCCCAGGTTTGAGGGGATACTCTTCTGGCAAGGTGCCCGTCAGCTCCTGGGGTGGAAGCAGCGTCAAGCCAGGCCCTTACCACCAGCCCAGCCCTTGGCCAACCAGGAGACACCGGTCCACTGGCCTGTGTGCTGCACGTGCCCGCCTTCCACCGCAGCCCCTGGCTTGACCCAACGCCTACCCCATCCCATCCGCGGTTGTCCTGTCCGTCTTAGGGCCGCTCTCCCTGCCTTCCCTTTCCCTTCCAAACTCCTCTGATCACTTCCTCCAGAGCTATCTTGCCCCCATCACAATTCTCATATGCATCATGTCTACGTGGACCCTCTGCAGCCCTCCACGCCCTTTATTCCCTGACCTGGGCCCCCTGCCTGGGTCTAATGCTCCTCCGTCCAGGGCTCAGGTCAAAGGCTGCAGCAGAGGGACACTAGGCACCAGACCCCAGGCAGACTTCCAGCATCCCCTCGGAAAGGGGTTCCCTCCCTTCAGCCCCCACATCCCCAAACAGAGCTCTGGGGCTCCTCAGATGAACCCCAAGCATGTGTGGAGGGTGACTGGGGGCCGGGGGCCGGCCAGGTCCTCACCGCCTCCCTCAGGCAGAGTCTTCTCAGCTCTTCCAAGCAGGCCTCCAGGCGCGCCTCCAGAGCCCTCTGCTGCTTGCGCACGGCGTGGGTCAGCTCCTTCATGGGGGAGACGGGGCTGTCGGGGCCTGCGAGAGGAGGGCAGAGGACGCGCTCAGGGAGGCTGAGGTGGGGAGGCTGACCACCCCCGGGAGAGCACAGGCGTGCGAGCGCACACACGCAGCCTCGTGCCTGCCCACAAATTACAGGCTAACTGCTGTGGCCTGTCTCAGCCACAAAAGACCGCGTCTCCTGACTGCCTGAGGGTGGTGACATTACAACTCAAAAGGAAAGGCTGTCCCACAAAGTGACCGACTTGGGGGAAGGCATGCATGGTCTGAATCCTCTACCTGCTCCTTTCTTTCTTCCTCCTTCTCTGTCTCTGACTCTCAATCTTACTCTCATATGCATTTCTTCTTTCATGCCCTCTGTTAAGACTAGGCCAGACTAGGCCCACTAGCTCAGGCTGACCAGAGGAGACCTTTACACTGGCCAGATAAGACTTTCAACTTTTTAGTAATTACTGGGGCTAAAGTGGAACACTGCAGATCCCTCTTCCAGATAGAACCGAAACTCAGACTAGACCCCTCCAGGAAGGAAAACTCCACATATCCCTGAGGTTACAGCCCTTCTAATACCTCTCACCCCCTCCCCCACCGCCCCAGCCCTTGGAAGTTTCAGTCCGATCAGCCCTACGGCATGGGTACTCAGGACTCAAGAATCAGGGCCAGGGACCAGGGCAGCGGGATTTCCCCAAACACTCACTAGACTGCAGGATGATGCCGCTGTCGGTGTCGCTGACTTCATCCTTACTCTCCATGGTAGATTTCTGGAAGGAGGGGGCACAGAGCAGGGCGGGGGGACACCGTGCCCAGCCTAGGCCAGGGTATGTAGGTAGTCTGGAGTTTCCCCAGCTTTTAAGAGAAAGGAGAACAAAAACAAAAAAGCTATAGCGAACCTCTTGATTACAAAGAACTTAGGAATACATGCTTGAGGGTGGGGGGTTGGGGTGGTGGTGGTAGAAGTGAGGGCCGAGCTTCAGGAAGGATCTAGGATAGAGGAGTCCTTGCCCCGAGGGGCACTGCCCAAGAGAAAGTGCTATGGGCCTTACCAGCAAACCCTGTTCTCAGCTGGCCCAGCCTAGCTCCCCACCAGGCCACTTCTAGGCCAGATTCTAGGTCCAAGGGGCTGACACCAGTCGTGGCCACAAGAGCCACACAGACTGAGGAGAAAGACAACAAGGAAGAGAGCAGAGCAAAGATGAAAAGTTAGGGGACCAAAAAAAAAAAGGAACAGGAACAGGCTCAGTGGCTCATGCCTGTAATTCCAGCACTTTGGGAGGCCAAGGTAGGATTACTTGACCAGCCTGGGCAACATGGCAAGAACCCTGTCTCTAAAAAAATTTTTTTTAATTAGCTGGGCATGGTAGACACTGAGCACGTGGCCAGGCCTGGGACCTCCAAAGCCCAGGACACCCTGCCCTCAGGACTAGGCAAGCCATCTGTAGACAGGGGCAGCGACTGTGTGGCAGAGAGCTGTCTCAAAGCCCTGAAATAACTCCCAAGCCACCAACTACACCTAGAAGACTCTTCAAGGGGACATCAGCCTGAACCTCCTATACCCCACAGCCAGGGGAGACCCAGGGGTATGTCTCTCTGGTTTCTAGGACTTGGGGGCTGGGGTGTAGTGACTATGGCAGAAGCTGCCCAAGGTCAGAAATGAGACCACTCACTCCTCTGTCTCCCTGGAGCTTGAGGACACTTGGGTGGCATGGGCACAATCCCACTGTGTCGGCCCAGCCGAGCACCAGTCACCCAAATACCTGTGCCCGGCCCCTCTCTCCTCACCAAACCCATGTCGCTGGTTGGGGTCCCAGCTGCTGCCAAGGGTGGAGAGAGGTGGGCGGATCCCAGGCAGCGGTCTGGAAGGAGAGCCTAGCCACCTCCTCACTGAGTCAGCCCATTGAGCAAGAGTCCAAAAGTCCTTCTGAGTTTCTGTCTGGAGCCCATCCTGCCTCCTAAGAGCAGGGGCTGCAGGGTGAGGGAGGTGGGCTCCACCCCTCCACAGGCAGCCAACAAGACAGAAAAGTAGGGCTTGGGAGAGATGAGATGATCACAAAGCAAGGCAGAGAAGGAGAGGCGACCGCTGTCAGCCATGTCCCCAAGAGCACCTCTCTGCCTGTTGAGAGTGAAAGAGCAGGAACAGTAGAGAACTTTTACAGACCTGTGGAAACGACACAGTCTATCAAAGTACCATGGGCTGCAGTAATTCAAAACACAGCCCTGAAAACATGTACCTTGCTCTTTGGAGTTTCAGTTTTCAAAGAAAGTCTAGAGAATGCATGGTAGGAAAATGCTTTCAAAGTGTATGTAGGGCCTTTGCAAAAGATTGGTCACATATTCTGGGGCTCCCAGAGTACTTAGGGAGACTATTAGCTCTGCACTGTCCATCCGTCCCAAACCCCATCCCTCTTAGAGATAAGAACAGGACAACCCTATCCCTCCTCCCACCCACCCTGGGCATCCTCCATTCCCAGAAGCTGGAGAGGGATGGGGAGGACCCAGCCAGAGTTAGAAGGTAAAGCAGGCTCAGCAAGCACTTTGGACAAGGGGAAGAAGTCCTGTGGGAGAGGAAGCCATTAATGAGTCACACTTACTAATTAATTATTAACCTCTAAGGATAATTTAGCTCCTGCCTCTCAGGAGCTCCTAAACTGGTGTTGCCTTTGAAAAGTGGGGACTTACAGGGACAGAAGGGTGCCTTAGCAGGAGTCCTCTCTCCTCCAGTTTCCTCCTCCCCCAGGTTGGCTCCGTCCCTCACCGCCAGAGTTAAGGGGGAGGCACCGACATCCGCAGAGGTCCCAATCTGATGCTGGGTCCACTCTGGGCTGATTGGCTGCTCCAAGTAGGGCAAAGAGCACAGGACCAGAAGTCTGGAGCCCTGGATTCAAGTCTCGGTCCTGCTACTGCTACTCTGGGGGAGTTACTTGACCTCACTGGGCTTGCTTTCCTTATCTGAACAGTGAGGATGAGACCTTGTCTAGGGCCCTGGTCTGAATCTGGACATCTTGGATAATATCAGGCTGAGAAGAAAACTCACACAGTCATGTAGCAGACCCTCTCATCTGCCTCTGCCGAGTCCATTCTCCACAGCAGGGAAACCTGCTTCAGAGCCCACGGTTGGGAGTGGGGGCTCAGGCCCCATCCCCACCCAGGAGGATGTGAATCTTCTAACATCCCCACCCTCTCCCCAACACAGGGTCCCTCCTGGCCTTTGGACAGCCCCAGCACTGGATCCTAAGACAGCCCACCTGGCTGAATGACATCCTCAGAAAAAGGTAGAGGAGGAGAGCTGGGCTTTCCCTCAGGCTGAGCCACTGGGAACCCTTCCCATCACAAACCTGGCCCTCAGAGCCGGGTCCTGGGCCTATCTGTCCCAACTTATCTCCGCTTGCCCTCTCTCTGGTCGTCATGAAGGCCCAGGGAACCACAGGGACTGGGTCCCATCCAAGCCCACCAGCACTTCCCTATCACCCCTGTGCCCCAGACCTGAGTTGGCAAGGGGTGGTGGTAAGGGGGTGACCGGCCGCCTCCTGGGCTCCCACCACTCCCAGGCCAGTCTGCCCTCAGCTCCAAAGATCCGCTCCGCTCCACCCCACCCCACCCTCACCTGCTTCCGGGCTTTAGTCCAGGAGTTCCCAAGAGTTCGGGAGAACAGCCCCTGCTCCCAGTCAGGGGGTGCAGGGGCCCCGCATGTCACCTCAGGGTCTCCCAGGCCACAGGCCTGTGCTCTCTCTCCAACCGTGGTGGCGCTGGTAGTCCCTCTCTCGTCCTGCCTGCCGTCCCTCCCAGGCTGCCGGGCCAGGGGAACCAGGTTACTTGTTATAACTTGAGTCAGAGGGGAGGAGCAGGTGAGCAAGTCCTTCCCTGAACTAATCCCGTGCAACTGCTGCCGGCAAGGCAGCTCACTCGTGGGCCTCTGCACTTCCGGAAGGCAGGAGGGAATAAGAGGAGCGGGGAATAAGAGGCTCCCCAAGAGGAATCCCCACCGAAGACAACAGTCTTCAGAGCCTCAAAGAACCCTACTACAATGTGCTGGCTGTGGAGTGCCTGACTGCCCTCCTATCCTTCTCCCTGCCTCCTTTGTACCTCAGTTTCCCTTTCCAAAAATCGAGTCATGTCGCCCTCATAATAGGGTGAAATGTTCACTGTCCATGGAAAATACCAGCAGACAATTGACAAGCTGACAAGATTGGACATCAACCTAGGGAGGGTGAAATGGAGGCCAAGGCCTGAGTCTTGTCTCTCCCAAATCAGGATTTTAAAACCTCAGGCAAGGAAGCTGGAATTCCACATGCGGAGAACCTAGGGTCCTCAAGAGGGAGAACTAGGCTGAACTAGGCTGCTCGTTCTTTTTATTCCAGACATTTCCCCCAAGGGGTATCAAGACTATCACTTCCCTGCTTATTATTTACATCCATCCTCCAGCAAAGGCCATTTAGGATCCGGGCACTGACTTGAGCCCCTGTCCGGTCTCCTGCGCCACAGGATGTACCCTGTGACCCCAGGCTAAACCCACTCCCCAAACGCAAGGGACTAGAAACCAAATGGAACCTATTCCCTATAAAATAATAAGCCTCTGGGTCTCCCACTCTGCTGAGCCTCACGCAAATGGAAAACTGGAATCTGGTCTATTTTACAAGGAGGAGCAGAGTAGAGCTGTTGCCTGTCCCCAGCAGGCTGGAATATGCAGAGATACCCTGCAGACCATAGGCTGCACCCCTCAAATCTTCAAACCACCACCTCCTTTCCCCTCACTCTCTGGTCCCCCCCAATCCCGATGCCTCAATGTAAGTCTGGATCGCTTTCCCTCCTCCAGCTCCTAAGAGCCTCATCCCCACTCCCCACCCCCCAGTGCAGGGAACGCCAAAGCCCGCTCTCATCCAGCACCTCCTGTGGAGCACAGCTCTTAGGGCCTGCGCTGCCACCCCCCACCCCTACACACACAGACCCAGCACACCTTCACATTCCTGTACACGCCCTCTTTCCAAACAATGCTAGCCCGAAAGCTCCAGGCTGACCATCTCCTTTTCTTCTCAGGCTGAGGGGCCCAGACAGGGGACAGCCCTCACCTTACCAATACTGTGGAGAGCATGCTCTCTGGGTCTTCCAAAGGGCCTGCAGACCTTCCCTTGCCCCAGCCCTCCACAATCAGCAGCCCCTACCCATGGAGGTTCGGCATTTTCTTCCAAAGTCAAACAGAGAGAGTCTGACTCTAGGCATAAGTGGCCCTCCCTCCACCTTGCCCATCCCCCATCTCCAGGTGGGGGGCGGTAGAAGTTTCTAGAATCAGCTCACAGCTCCTATTTCTTAATGCATAAATAGAATTGAGAGACTAAGAGAACCAATTACATTGAAATACAGTTCTAAAAACAGAAAAACACAGCCATATATATGCTTCCTTGTGAACATTAAACAGGATCTAGCAGCGGGTGCTTTCATAGGAGGTGAGTGTAAACAATATTTCAAGACTGCTGCACCCACCGCAGTGTGATAAGAAACTGAACTCTAGTAGTGGCCAAGTCACAGGTCCTGCCAATGCTACTGTAGTTTGCTGCCCTCATTAGCTAGAGAGTATATTAAATTTCTGTTAAAGCTGGTGAAAAGTTTTCCCCCAATCTAAATCTACAAACCCTCTGAATTCTTCCCTCAGATGCCTTGGTATCCATGGGCTCAGCTAAGAAGCCCTGCCCTCGGGTAACCCACCACCTCTGAGTTTAGGGACAAGAAATACAAATTCACTTTTTGGACTGATCCTCTGGAATTCTCAAAGACATTCTGCACCCTCAAATTCACACCTCTCATCTCCCAGACTGGCTGAATCTGAGGTTTGGAAGGGGAGCTGGCCCAACCAAGCCTCCCGCCAAGAACCCCAGGGTTCTTGGATCCATTGGATCTAGCAGACTGGCATGTCATTCTACTCAAAACACTAAGGGGGAGATGGGCACACCAGAGCCCAGCTGAGAATCGAGGATTCAGCACCACACTCCAGTCAGTCGGGGACCCAAACCCGGGAGCAGTATCATGGAGACCACCAACTAGTGAGGGGTGGTGTTTCCTGGCAATAACATTATGGAGTACTTGGAATCTGATCTTTGTAGACAAGAGCCCTCTTCTAGCCCATTTCCTCAGTTAAAGCCCTGAATCCGAAAACTCTTCCACAGCCCTGTAGCCATCCAGTCTCCAATTTCTTTCTTTTTTTTCCCAAGTTTCTTCTGATGCACCAGATTGGAAGTTCTTGAAACCCAGCGCCTCATCCTACCATCTCCACGACCCCAACAACCAGCAAAGCCCAGTCTCAGGCACTGCTAACCTTGTACTTACTGAATTAACGAATTAATGGTCAGTCGCTAGAGCCAACAGTGGGAAAAGGAAGAAGGAAATAGCCCGGGACCCTCCAGGCCGGAGGGGTGGGAGACTGTTTCTTAAACTGTTGCCCCCTGCCCACTGGGAAAGGTGCTCGCCTCCACCAGGCCAGGATGGGGTGGGCTGGGGCCGGGAACTCCAGGCTAGCCTGGAATGCGCCCTGAAATCAGACCTCTAGGCTTTCTCTAAAAAGCCCCTTTGTCCTGTCCACCCTGCTCCCCTCCCCCACCGCGCCCTCCACAACCAGGCCGGCCCGAGACTTGGCTCCTTTTGTTTGGCTGCTTTCTGGCTTCCCGGAACCTGGCCAGGAGAGCCACAGGCACCGGCAAGGTCGAAGGAGTAAGGGTGAGGGTTTGAAAATGTGCGGCTTTCGGTGGGAACTCAGAATTCCCAGCGCCTGGGTAAAACGAACCCATTCCCCGCACGGGCCCCTCTGCCGAGGCTGAAGACCGCGGGTGCGGGGGCTGGATTCCCCCCGGCTCGCCCGCGCTGCGTCCCCCGGAATTTCCCCCTTACCTGTCCCACGGAGCTCTGGCGCCGCCCGCCTGCCCCCGCGCCCCCGCTTCCTGCCCCGCAGCTTCAGGACCGGCTGGCCCGGGCCATCCTCCCTCTCCCCGAGCCTCCCCCCGGCCTCCCCGCCCCGGAGGTATTTCATTTAACTTCGGCGTTTGCAGCATCCCAAATGTTAAAGACCCCGAGACATCTGTCCCCTGGGGCATACCAAGGCCCACCGGA